CTAAACCCTAAACCCTAAACCCTATACTAGTAGCAATAGCAGCAGTAGTAGTGATAGCAGTAGTAGAAGAAGTAGCAGAACCCCAAACCCTAAACCCTAAACCCCAAACCTTACCCTATACAAGTAGTAATAACAGCAGTAGTAGTGATAGTAGCGTAGTTATGTAGGGCGTGGATGGCCTCATTCATGATCATACACCGGGGAATAACCCGCGCAATGGTAGGCCTGCTTCGCATTGCAATCTGAAGCTTCATTCCGAAGCCTTGTGCAAGTCATGCGCACGCTATGGTGCGACATAGCTTATTTTTTTGATTTGGGCTGTGATGTGCCAGTGCTCGGGTTTTTCAGCATGTGCTACTTGTTTCAAGCACAGCATCTTCCACACCTCACTGCGCGATCGCTCAAATTTCTGCACCGCGCACTACTGAGTATAGTTCGTGAACGCATACCGGAGATTAACAGTTCTAGAATCTAGAATCGAGTGTGTTTGTTTGCCAAAAAATGTCCTTCGGACTTTATGCCCAGCGCAGAAGAAGAAAGGGCTCTATACTCTCAACGTCGAGCTGTGTCACGACAAGGGCAGGACTGATGACTTCGAAAAGGGTAGTTCTCGGGCCCCGGCTTAAGTAAAAGAGACCCTGATTTAGAGAACTATCCGAAAGGAGAGCGCCACGAGCCTCCCTAGAACTTGAAATGCCGAAAATGCCCGGAAGAGTTCAGTACGGTTGCCACATGTAGGAACCTGAAATAACACCAGAATATTAATATAACTATTAGGATATCCATAAACGAGATCCATGACTGTAATAGTACATAAAACTTGTCCAGTATCCTATTGGGGTTGAAAGTTGGCATTGCGCAGGGATCATAGTGCAACCCAAAAGGTTAAAGGTTGCCTACTACTCAGATACCGAAACCCTAAACCCTAAACTCTAAACCCTAAACCCTAAAACCCTAAACCCTAACGCCCAAACACCCTAAACCCTATAAACCCTAAACCCTAAAACCCTAAATCCTAAACCCTAAAACCCTAAACCCTAAACCCTAAAACCCTAAAACCCTAAACCCTGAAACCCTAAACCGTATAACCCTAAACCCTAAAACCCTAAAACCCTAAAACCCTAAACCCTAAAACCCTAAACCGTATAACCCTAAACCCTAAAACCCTAAACCCTCAACCCTCGATCTCGGATCGGTGCCCCTGAAGTCCAGCTGCCGGTGCAGCGCGCGATATGGCAGCGAGGGCGCACGGGTTCATCAGGAGCGGGGGTGGGTGGAATCCTATGCTTCTCTTCCTACGCAGGGCTTCGGGAAGATCTGTCTTTGGCAGGTCATCGAGAATTTCCCGGCCTACTGAAAGATCGGTTCCGTGGATGTTTGGTCTGTGATGCTCTGGCCTATCCATGCTATGCGTCTCTGCGGTTCCCAGGCTTTCCTCAACCCTAAACCCCACATGGGTGGTTGTCAAAATTAGAGTCCCTTTTTGGGTCGCTATTATAATACGGCACCTAGTATTTAGGGTACCCCAAAAGGGACCCTAATTTTGACAATCACCCACATGTCTATGGGTCTCTGGGGTTCTGAAGGCTAACCTTTCCTTGCAATGCAGGCTTCCCCGGCCGAGGGCTCACACCAGCTTTTCTTCACTGAACCTGAACCCCGAACACGTGAGGATCTAAGGTTCAAGGCTTTCAGGTTTAGGGTTTACGGGTTTAGGTTTAGGGTTTGGGTTCAAGGTTTTCAGGTTTAGGGTTTAGGACTTTAGGGGTTTAGGGGTTGAGGGCTTAGGGTATGAAGCAGGGTTTTCAGATGCCTTGAGATTCGGGTTTGGAAAGGTAGGCCTGCGTCTGAAATGCTTTCTGAGACCGAAGTGCTGTGAGAGGATCTGGTTTGTCGAGGGTTTGGGGTGTTTAGGGGTTTAGGGGTTTTAGGGTGAGGGTTGTGTGTCTAGGGTTTAGGTTTGAGATTTGAAGTAGAGTTTTGAGTAGAGGAGGAGAAAACCTGATACGACAGCAGAATCTCTGTGCCGACGTTTCCGCGGTCCGGGGGTCAAAGGATTTGGCACCTGTCCTAATTAAATTATCATCCGGTGACATACACGATCCGAGCGAAGCATCATGTGGGGCAGACAGTCGCAGGCAGAAGCTTGTCATCCAACATTCGCAGACCACCGCTGCCATTTTCATTTCCCGCGTTAGCTTTGACGTGCTTAGTTCTTAAGGCACTATCTTCACGATCACCACGATCACCACAACACGACCGAACTGCAAAGGCCACAAACACTTTGATAAGCCACTGTGAACGCGCTGTGCCAAGTCATAGTGCAAACAGCACATTATTCTCGTTGCACTTTCTTAATCTTTGATCCTTCAACATCTGGTACTCAGAGCATGTTTGGTAAACAGACGTCGTTGGCATGTATCTCGGTATTGACCAGAACACCGAACACTTAGCAACCCCCTTTCGCCCTGGCCCCTAAACCTCAAAACCCCCAACCCTCTCTCCCTCACAATTTCGAACCGGGGAGCCTAACCCTACTTAAAGGATTATGGGACTTAGTAAGTACAGCTATAAGTACCCTAACTGGGGTTATATCCAATTTTAAGTATAGTTACCTTATTTATAACCATAGTTACTAAGTCCCATGAACCTTTAAGTAGTCCCAAATCCCTAAACCCCAAACCCTACATCTTCACCCTAACCGTTCATAAGCCCCCATTCGTAGAAGCTTTGCGGAGCCCTTGCGGCGCATTGAAACCTTAATGATACCCTTGCAGAGCCCTCACAATGCCGGCATAGAACCCTTCTTTGATTTCTAAACCCCATACCCCAACCATCTTGAACCCAGTAGTGACTACGTAACCTAACCCTAAACCCTAAACAAAATAAAACCCTTCTAGGATGCTGAAACCCTTTTCGAGACCCCGTACCTCCCCTAAACCCATGTAAGCCCTGATTCCTGAAGCCTGAAAACAAAAGGTGTGTGTGTGTGTGTGTGTGTGTGTGTGTATGTGTATGTATATATGTATTATATATATATGTATATATGTATACATGTATATAATAGAAAATAGTAACAAGAATTAGAACAGCAAAAATAATTCTAATCAGAAGAATAACAATGATAATCATAATGACAAAATGTAATAGGAATGGTACCACTGATAGAAATAACAGCAATTTCAAGAATACTAATACCAGTAATCAACATCGTAAGGAATAATAACTAACAGCCCTCTGGCTGCCTGATCATTCCTAAAGCCCAGACCCCAAACCACCCCCTAAACCCTGAAAGCCTAAACAATAAAACCTAAACTCTGAATGAGAGCCCTCGGGCAGACCTGATGCATCTCCTGTGTGGACTTTACCACGAAGGCCGAGAGATCCTTCACGTAGACGCCGCTTTGCGGGTTGTCCTGGCGAATTGATCTTAAATGAGGTTGATATCCTTTAAACCCAAGTTAAGGATAATTGGAGTCTCTGGGTGATCTTTGCTGAATGGTTTAGGGTTTGGGTTCCTTTGAGGGATCTAAAGAGATAAGGGTTTAGGGGGTTCCAATATTGGGGAATATACATTAAATGACGGTCGGGGTATGCTCCCTAATGCAGCGATATGATATTGGAGTCTCTGGGTGATATTTGCTGACGGACTTAGGATATAAGGTTCAAGCTCTAACATCTTGTTTTTTAAGGTTTAGACTTGCAGTCTGGATTTAGGATTACGTGTAGGGGAGATTCCAGACGTCTCATGGGGTCGCCAGCTAGAGCTTTTTGAAATTGGGGTTTACGGTTTCGAGCTTAGTGTCCAAATGCAATGAGCCAGTCTGCGCAATACGTGTGAGTTTTCAGAAAACAAGGGACCCTCACATAAACCCGACCTAGACCTACTACACCCTACTTTGTTGTAAATTCTCATGATAAGCCCTAATAGGGGATTCATAGGGACCTTACCAAAAAAGCAGGTTCTGGTTATTTTGAGGTATATGATGAATCCCTGAAGCTCCCTCAATAGGCACCCCGAGTGGTAAGACATCCATGAACCTCATATCGAACCTGCATACTATAGGGGCCTTCAGAATTAGCATAAGGTGTTGGGTCCCATTACTATAACTATAAAAGGGAACCCGAAGTAGTATAGGCAATTATTAACAAAGCGCGTCAAAATACGGGCCTGTGTTTTTGGATACGGCATACTTCTGCTTCGTGCTACCTCTGTGTGTGTATGTATTTGTATACATATATGTATATGCTACCCCCCCCCCCAGTACCCCAAGTCAGGCTTTCCAAGACACACCACAACTGCAGGAGAGATACCTTAGATGTGGCACATGTCTGACTGATTCTGACTGCTAGCATCTATTTAGACCACTCAGTTGCATCATCTTGGCTTCTTTATCATGCTCCATAACTGAACTTCTTCTTTGAAGGAAAGCTCAGCTTCGCATGCTTGCTCAAGCCGATCCATAACTGAACTTCTTCTTTGAAGGAAAGCTCAGCTCAGTGATCTCGCAACCGTGGAGAAGCTGTCAGAAGTCAGTCAATCTGACCAATAGCTCAACATGTCATCGTCCGTGAGTGGTTTGTCTCCGTTTGGAGTAGACTTGTACAATAGGTCGTCGTATTTATAGATCACGTCACCTTGTTGGTTTCTATACGTGCTTACTCAACAAAACAGTTCCTTGAGAGTATCAAAGTGAATCGTCGCCCTATATATATATATATATATAACTTTACAGAAACGACGACAACACAAAGGCATGCTGAACATACATGTTGAGATGCCGTTGGGCAGCTTGCCAACTCGTTTTTCCTATTTGGTGTGCGCAGACGGACCTGGTCCGAGAATACGCTCTCCAAAGGCGAAAATTAGATCCGCCACGTCTGTCGGAAAAGTTCGGCAGAAGGGTGCAGACATGGCTCAGTACGAGTGGATTTGCTTGCAGCTACGTAAACAAATCACAACTCATAATACATTCTGGAGGGATGATATGACGACACTATCACTCGGCCAGCATGCTTTGCATGTGAGCCTGACACAACACTCCGGTATGGAGCCAAAGATCTGCGTTCTTGTTCCAGTATTCATATTGCACTGAGCGCAACTTTGCACGCAGCAACTTCGAACCGGCCTTGCAGTTCTGGTTTATGACGATCCTACCTTTCAACGCTCTGTCGATCACCTGAGTTCCTGACTTGCATTTCAAAATCTTCTGAGTGCCAGGAATTTTATGCTCAACGATTCCTACGTACTTGGGATTAATCCACTTGAAACGGCCATTCGCTTTCACACGTTTTTTGCAGTGAACTACTCGGTCGTGGATGACCCCGTCGATGTACGCCTTGTAGGATTTTGCTGAGTCCGTGTGTAGAACCACTTTCCGGCCCTTCAAAAGTTTGTTCCCGAGAGTCTGCCACTCGATCTTGCGAATTGCGCCCGGTCCGGGGGCTTTCTTGACCCTCACCTTCGGGTTGAGCCTGTGCAAGACAAGTGTTTCGGGACGACCTCGTTGAACAACACCCGCCCATTGCTCCCACATCCAAGTAGACTTCTTGTCTTTTGATGAGGTGCTTGAATTCGACCGACGCACTAATGTCACGTTTGTTGAAGGTGGCTTCATCCGCCTCAATGTCTTTCCAAGACTGCCCAGTGCCGAATGTGATCTTCTTCTCCTCCTTCTCGACATAGTATCTGCGCAGTTCACACATTTTGCGGTACATGTCCTCAACAGCCTTGTGGTTCACATGAGTGAGCAGATGGACCGTGGACAGCGGGATGCGGACGAGGAGCAGTAAGAGTACAGACGCTTGGGCCTGCAGCGACGCCGAGGTTGAACCCTTGCCTTCTGTGAAAAGGGGATGAAGGTGATGCGGATTCAACCAAGCTCTGCACTTGCTTGAAGAGCACTTGTATTTCCAAGTGTTGTTTCGGAACTGCATGAGCTTCGAGAGTTTGCCGGTGGAGCAACATGGGCAGAAAGAAAGTGTTTTGGACATGGCTGTCTTTTCATACGAGGATGCTAGCATACAGATCTGACTGACTCGTGACTGGTCATCTGTTAAAAAAGGATTGTGCATGCATCCACCGATAGCACAAAGGTTAATCCAACCAGACACTCATGGTGCCGAGCTTGTGCAGCAACTTGCCTTGCCAAGTTTGTCCACGGTATGCAGCTTGATCTGCACAAGGTTCGGTCCTTACCACGCCTCGCGTTTTCATCACCATGGCTAAAAGATGTCCTCCACCTCATGTCCCGAAGAGGGGCAAGGCCCAACAAGTTCGCAAGCAGCCAGCGACCAAGAAATCTACCGCTTGGAAAGCCATCCCCTACACCCGAGAGGAAGGCGGCCCAGGACCTCGTGGACAACGCAAAGATCAAATTAAGTGGACACGTTCAATCACACAGCTCCTTACGGCAAGCGACAAGACCATCATCAAGATCCTCACTACTGACAAAATCCTTCGTGAAGTCGGTCAGCTCTTGTGAGATTCCCTGGGGCTCGAAGGCAAGATCGTCCATGGGGTCGTGCACCTCCTCCTCCTCCTTGACGGTTGCTTCTTGGGTGCCTAGGTCAATGATCTCACTTGACAGTGTGGACAAAGCCCTGCGAAATGGCCGGGGCTGTTCTTTGACCGCCGTAGCTGTGTTGACAGATGATGATGGCAGAGAAGATGCGCTGAAGCTGCCGGTGGGTCTGTGACTTGAGCCATGAAAAAGTTCATGAATAGCGCCTGCATTGATGATGGTGGGGTTTGGCCGTGGCGTGGGTTGCCAGTGAGGATTGCGTTCACGTAGTCGACCTCCCATTTGAGATCTTCGTCAAACGCGGAAGGCGTTGACTTGATGCCGTCACGATATTCGTTGTACCTCTTCGCCGATGCAGGCTTCAAGAAATCCAGGTGGCTGTCCATGACTAATCCGGGCACAGAAATTTCTTCCTGTGTTGCTGAGCGGAACAACATGATGGTGCCAGCATTGACCAGTATGTTCACTCGCCTGAGTATGGCCATAATGTGAGGACTTTCCTGAGTTTGGTATGAGAGTTTGGGATAGTACAACGAATGACAACATGATATTGTTTATCTGTTGTTAAAACAAACATTCAAGTATCTTAATTAACCAACAAGTCCCAGTCTCAGTGTCCCTCGGGAACATCGGCTTGATGACGCCCAAGAAATCTTCGTGTTTCATGTGAACTGCGCAACCACCGCGAATACGCTGATGCTTATTAAGCCATGGCGTAAACTCGAAGTCGTTGCAGGCGAAGAGACGCATTTGCCGTTGAACGAACTTTGCTGCTCCCCAGCATTCCCTTGTCATTGCAATACATCGTACATCTGCGAAACCTTTCATCTTGCGAATAGGTTCCGATGCGAGGCACCCATCGTCGTGCATGTCAGGCCGGTCCTTGCGACCAGCCTGTCCTCGGAAGAAATCGAAAGGATGGCGGGGTAGAGATGTTGAGGGTACGCTTCCAATGCCTTGAGATGCACATGGCTATGATTCGGGCCAGTGGAGTTTTGCCACTGCCGGGGCTGCCAACGAAGCCGTTTGAGTGCGTCTTCATGTGCTTGAGCATGTGGCGAACAGCGAAGTCAAGGACGGAGTACTCGACGTCTGCCAGGAAAAAGTTGACGTTTTCAATGGGCTAGCACACCATCGGTCTGCAATGCTCGCAAAGATCTTTCCACCAGTCCTTGACCCCATGCGTAGATGGGGGACTCGGGATTAGTGTTCAAGTTTTTGGTCATCCACTGAACACGCTTCCACTCAGTGCCAAGTCGACTTGCTTCCTCCTCGATGAAAGCGAAGCTCTTGTCAACCGCCTCTTCGCTCAGATTTGCCATGTAAGAGCCACTTTTGGAGCCATCAGGACGGGGTTGGTGGCAAGGTAGCATATGGGTCAGTGCATGATGACGACACTGCCATCCACCCAACTGCTCCAAGAACCATTGAAACCCTCTCCTGAAGTTCTGTGCATGGCCTTGCCACTTCAAGACATAAGGTGTTCCGTAGCACAAACACTCCAAGCATGCCTTGGTGAGCTTCGTGTCTGGGCTATACATATGCTTGAGAACAGAGACGTTGGCATTGTTTTGAGAGATAACGACGAACTGTGTGATGAGCTTGACTTCCACATCAGATTTCACGCAAAACGGTTCGGGTAGCCGATCCTTTCCACAGTGACCAGAGTTGATTGCGGCCTCAATGGAAGTCTTATCAGGCGGGGGCACATCGCTGATGATGTCCACTATGTGCTTGGCGCTGTCACACTTGACGTCCTGCAAAGGAAGATCGGACAAGAAGATTCCACCACGCGCTTGATCTGACCAAGCTGGATCGGGCAGTGGTTTCGAAAGCGACATACCTTGAGTAGCTTGGATGCCAGCATCGATGGACACATCGCCTTGACGACCTTCCATGGTGATGCAGTCTAGGAAGAAGTGCTAGCAGGATCAGGATTTTGAGGTAGAAACAGCTGAGTAACGGCAGTTCAGCACTTTGACATGGACACAACCATGCTGCCACACGAAGCTTCGCAAGAGAAAAGCTTTTTTTCATCGCTTTACATAGAAGTCGGCGTGATACTCAGAGGACATAGTGAGTGAATCAGTGAGTGCGTGAATGAACGAGTGAGCCAATCAATTCGCGAGTCTGTGAGTGAATGAATGAGGTGAGTCAGTGAACTCGTGACTCAGTGAATGAATAAGTGCGGGTCAGTGAGTTTGTAAGTCAGTGAACCTAGGAAACATTAGTATTGAACTTCTCAGTATCTCATAGAACTGGTTTTCCCAACTTTGAACGAAATGCTTCTAAAAGTTTGTTTTCCAACTTTTTCCACAATTTCCACAACAATCTGCACTATGTCCAGAGGAAACTGGAAAATGTTGGTAAAACCAACATTTTGGCTTCCGCGTGCCTCGAAAAGTTGGTTTTACCAACATTTTCCACGATCTCCCTAGACATAGTGCAGATTGTCGTGGAAATTTGGGAAAAAGTTGGAAAAACCAACACTTGGTGGAAAATGTTGGTAAAACCAACATTTTGGCTTCCAGGTGCCTCGAAACCTTGGTTTTACCAACATTTTCCACTATTTCCCTTAGAGATATAGTGCAGATTTTCGTCGAAATTTTGGAAAATTGAAAAAACTAACTTTTGGAAGCATTTCGTAAAAAAAGGTGTGACATTTAGTATCAAGTGTTTGCAAGGCCGACCAACACAAGAGTTACGCCGTCACGTCGTTGGAATGTCGTCGTCTGAGTCGTCTGAAGTTTTCGACGTCGGTGAAAGTAAGTTCAACTCCAAGCAACAGCGTCCGTCATGCAGTCGAGTCACCTGACAGACAGGTTGGGGTACAGGGGGGGGTCCCAAATACATATATGTGTTGAACAGGCATCCCGTATTCCGACACGCCCTCATTATTAAGGCCCCTACTTAAAGGATCATGGGACTTAGTAAGTTGGGTTATAAGTAAAGTAGCTAGGTTATTATTGCTTATGACCCCAATTAAGGTACTTATAACCCTACTTACTTACTAAGTCCGATGATCCTCCAAGTATTTTAAGCCCAAACCCCCAAACAAGGGATCCCACTTAGCACCAGCGACTCCGAACACTCCTCCACTGAGGAGTAGACTAGGGTGTAGGGTTTAGGGTTTATAGGTATTGGTTCACCAATTGAGTAGACCTTCCAATTTTAGGGGGGATCCTTGGAACAATTTTCCAGATATGGAGGCATTGGGTTTAAGAACCCGGTCGAAACCCTTGCAACCCAAAACCCTGAAACCCCAACCCCAAAACAGAAACCCTGAACCCCAAACACTAGTAAACCAAGGTCTCTGGCTAGCCAATTTATAGCAAGGGTAGCAATTTTTCCTACTGTGGGGGACCCTAAAATTTCGGGACCCCACTCTAAAAAGGGACAAGGACACTACTCAGGAACCTATGAAACCCCACACCCTATACCCTAAAGCCCTAAACTCTATAGTAACCATTGTGAAACCCTTGTATTATAGGAAGCCCTAAAGGGAACTCCAGAAAGTTGGAATATGGATTAATGGTAGGATCCCCTATAGTTCACCTTAAAGGGGTTACGATAATGATATTCCAACTTTTTGGCTTTTACTGTATAGACCCCCTTAAATGGACCCTTTAAGGGAAACCCTAAACCTAGAAACCCTGACGCTTTTTGCCCAGGACATGAGCGATGGCGCACCAGCTTCCCGACTAAGCCTCCAGCTTAAGGTGGGAGGATGATGCACAGGCGGAGAGGGGCCCAAAAAGGCGCCCTAGTATTTGGAGTTTAGGTTTTTAGGGCTTTAGGGTTTAGGAGTTTAGGGGTTTAGGGTTTAGGGGGAGAGGGGGAGAGGGGCGGGGGTTCTCAAGAATGGGGATGGGACTTCGGATACATGTGCTTTTTTGTTACATACACACATTTGTTATGTATGTATACTTATATATATATATACATATATATATATATATATATATCCTGGCCTATTACTAGTAGCCATCTGAGAGCGAAACATCGGACAGTGATATCCCATACCCCAAACCGTGTGCCCTAAAAACCCTCATTACTAACCTACTCATGGAGCCGGATAAGGCAGCTATATCCCTGCAGAATACATGCTGGTCTAGGATACCCAGTAACCTAAGAATAAAAAGGCCTCTCTTTTTGGTATTGGGTAACTTTAAAAAGAACAAAAAGGGAATAAGGGCACTACTGGGCATCCTAGTGGTTTTGGGCCCCGAGACGGAGACGGTTCCCCTTTCGACACTAATCTCATGAGGCAGACCGAGAAGGGCCTGGCTGTGCCGAGTGACTCTTGCAGGGCCCCTTGCATGTGACGTTTCTTAACTAGTTCATTGTTGGGATAATATTAAAAATCTACATTTCTATTCCTTATTGGGTTTAAGTACCCATAAAAATGTAAAATGTTACCCAACTACGACAAAGTTAAGCACGGGTGTAGCTTTTCTCGTTTCAGGCAGGTGGAACTAAGCTGTGACGACTTGCCTAATTAAGCTTTTTTTTCTTGCAAGGGTCCGGAACACTCCGCTAGTTCTGTTTCTCTCAGAACGGCGGAGAGAGGCTTCCGCAAGAACGCTAAAGCACGTGGCAAAATATCTTGCCACGCTGAACAAAACCCAAGGCTACATGATACGAGTAAAAAATAGGAGAAGGGTCGAGATAGGACATTAGGGTTGGGGGTTTAGAGGGCTTCTTTTAGGGCATTCATGTGGCACTTCAACAGGAAAGGAATCAGGTTTAAGGTTTAGGGTTTAGGATTTAGGGTTTAGGGTTCAGGCTTTAGGGTTTAGGGCTCTCAGACCCTTTCCTATCTATACTAGCCCTGGAAGCTGAAATTTAGAATTCCACAAGTGCACCGTTTTCGCGCGATGCACCGCGACCGCCCGTGATTGGGCGGGGCTTAGGGTTTAGGGTTTAGGGTTTAGGGTTTAGGGTTGCAAGAAAGAGACACCTGTTGCTGCCAATGTAAGAGCAGAGCACCCCAACGCATGATTCTAAGTGCTTCTCGTGTTGTGCAGCATCGCAGACGAAACGCTGCCTTGATTTTACAGCAAAACAGAGACGGCTCGGCTGTCTCAAACCTTGCCGTTGGCATGGCATGGTGAAAGTCTCACGCTCAGACAAGTGCGGTACTGATGAAGATGATGGGTTCAATGAAGATAGTTGAAAATGGTGATGAACATGCAGATGGGAAACCCTAAACCGTCAACTCTATATGGCTATGCAACTTTTTGACACACAGTCTTCCAACGCATAGTGCACCCACTCCAACAAGATCCATCAAATGCCACCAGAAACACAGAGTGCACCTGTCTCTAGAGTTTAGGGTTTAGGGTTCACTGTAGAGTCAGTGTAGAGATTAGGGCAGACCGAAGTTTAAGACTCAGTCGTGCGAATCGCACGGCCGTAATGCAGGGGCCTACGTTACATACTTACCACGACTTTTCCTAGGATTCCTTAATGTGAATGCAACATACAATTCCCCCAAAACCCTGTTCTAATTTGTAGGGCCCTATCCCTCACAGTAACCCTTATCGAGCCCTATAAGCGGGAACCCAGGCAAAGGAACCAGACTTAAAATCCTAGAGTCCCGAACCCTGTAGTAGCACTCCCTGGTGCTTAGTAGCGAATAGCATTAGGGGTATATTATACTCTACTTATAATAAGGAACCCCAAAAAATCGTATAGGTAGTTATTTGGGCTCCTATATTAAGGCTTGAGGTCTAGGGCTTGTAGGGTTTACTATCTGGTGCTTAGTAGCGTCTTGGGGGAATGGATCCCTATAGTAGTCTCTATATAATCCCTAATAGTAGTCATCAAAATCCATTCCCCCATTCCCTACTAAGAACCAGACAGCGACTCCAACATCCCTTGATTTAAGAATATACCTGAAAGTATAGTAGGGATCCTACTATGCATGAGGGTTTAGGGTTTAGAATTAAAGAATATACCTGAAAGTATAGTAGGGATCCTACTATGCATGAGGGTTTAGGGTTTAGAATTAAAGAATATACCTGAAAGTATAATTAGTAGGGATCCCACTATACCTGAGGATTTATGGTTTAGGCCCACCATGCCAGTCGGAGGAAGCCTAGAAGGAGTCAAGCCTCCTGTGACTTCCTGTGCAGTGCGAAGTTCGACAGCGTTCCTCCCAGACCTTCCAAAATCCCTTAATTAAGGAATATACCTTAAATCATATTAAGGATCCTACTATAATTTAAGGCATATTCCTTAATTAAGGGATTTTGGAAGGTCTGGGTCCTTCTGCCTTTCCCAGAGAGCCCAATACCCCTTAATTAAGGAATACCTAGGGTTCCTTTAAGGGATCTATAAGGGATCTATGGGGTTTAGGGTTTAGGGGGCTCCAATACCCCTTAATTAAGGAATATCGCTTAAATCACAATATGAAGCCCCTTGTAATTTAAGGTATATTGCTTAGTTAAGGGGTATTGGGCTCTCTGCCTTTCTCCTTCCAAAGGAACGGGTTCAGGGTTTAGGGGTTTAGGGTTAGGGGTTTAGGGATTAGGGTTTAAGGTTATGTTATACTAGGGTATCGCATCTGGTGGTCGGGATAATGTTTATTCCTTCTTGGGCTAACAAGAAGTACCTCTTCAAATGTATATAGACTGTTACGCAAGCATGAAAAAGGTATGCTATACTACAGCTACAATAAAAACCCCGAGCAATCATGGTCTATGTGCTATTCAGGCACTTAAGGGTCTGCAGTCTGTCACACTATCACGGCAGTAAGAATCCTGAAACATTATGTGCTATGTATTCTCCAGGCACCTGTTATACTCACTTGTCCACCATCCTAGGGGAAGTAAAGATTCAAGATTGGGGTTATGTGGGGAGTATAGCACTCCAAAGTGTCACTGGCTACCTACTC